TAGATGAACGAACGGAAGTTGAAGATTGGTACTGGGTTCCAACTGAATATAACATTGCAGATGAAGCAACAAGATTGACGCCAGGAGAGAAAATAATTTCAGACCAATGGTTTTCTAGGCCTCACTTTCTCAGACAGTCCAATGAACTTTAGCCGTGCCAAAAAGACAACATTAAATATTCATGTGGATTGGATGTTGAACTGAAGCAAAAAAATTTGTAACATATCTGTTTATTAGGAACTATGAAAATTGTTTACCAGATTGATTCGTTCTACAGTTTGGTGCTTGACATTTATTAACATTCCTAAAAACAAGAAAAGACTTGAACCCAATTTAATAAACGAAATAATACATTTTGCTGAGGAAATTTGGGTACAGTGTGCACAACAAAAGAGTTTTCCCTCAGAGATATGCTGCCTGACGAATGGAAAACCTTCAAGTGGAAGTAGTAAGCTTGCCAGTCTATGTCCTGAACTAAGAAATGGAATTATGGTTCTGACTGGCTGAACGAATGTGTCGAAAGAGTTGTTAAGAGATGTTAGTCCACCAGCTATACTGAGTCAAAAGCACTATTTCACGAAATTACTTATGCAGCATTATCATGAGAAATATATTCGTAGAGGAATGGAACTGGTACTGAAAGAACTCAGACAAAAATACTGCGTGATTCATAGCTGAGCAGCAGTTCGAACAGCATTCTTCAGATGCCTTAAATGCAGAATTGAAAGAAGTTAACCAATGGCCGGACAAATACCAGAAAGAGAAATCAGACCATTTGTCAATGCAGGAATGAACTACTTCAGACGAAATTTTGTAAAAATTGGTAGAAAAAGAGAGAATAGGTGGAGAGTTCTGTTCACCTGTCTTGTAGAGAAAGCCATCCATTTTTAAAAAAGCCCATAGCCTCAAAAGAGACTCAACCATTCAAGCAATATTGAGAATAGCTGCAAGAAGAAGACAATCTCACGTTATTTTTTGCGATAATGGGATGAATCTAAGAAGTGCAGCAAAGGAAACACATCAAGCCATCGAGAACATAGAATTTTCCAGTATACTCAATTGTATGTCTGCAAGTTTATCCCTCCTTCTTCACCCCACATGGGGGGAACTTGGGAGAGATTGATTGGAACAGTGAAAAGAACTCATGGCAACGTTCTCCATGATCAGAATCTTCAAGAAGAAATACTGCAAAATTTTATGTCGAAACAAGATGTTCTAAGTTAAACCAACTTGAATTCAAAAAAACAAACGTATTTCAACCGGTGGATGATGGAGTAATCTGCATATGTAATTCAAGAAAGTTTTGAATGAATTGATTGAAAATATGACGATGCGAGTAGGGACGGGTCTCCAGTAATAGATTGCAAGCCCATGCTAAATTTTTAGGTCATAATATGATACCTCTTAAAAATGTATGATATTTATAACACTGAAGTGATAATCTTGGAATATTCTTTTTTGAACATGAAATGAAATACTTAAAAGCACTGAATATGATTCGGTAAATCGTAGAAGCATCCTGTAAACTTCCTCTGATGCGTATTATGAGTTGATACTGCCGAATAATTATCAGTAGGTTTCCATTAATAATGAGGCATTTAGCCCTGAAAAATAATTATCATTGATAAAAAGTAGCAGTTGAATTTGTTGATTTTCATTCGAGTAAGGCCACCAATTTCATAAAAAAAGCAAATCACAAAAAATAATGTAGCCAAGAATTCCTGATTTTAATGTATCTTGCACGATGAAACATAGGGGGACCTAGAATTGTGACAAAAACGATTTCTCTCTGCAGACAATAGCTAGCACTTTTACTGCTTAATTTTATAGACGCGCAACTTGACTTAGTACGTTACACGAAAAGCGGTTGCGTGATTATAACGACTGCGTACAAAAAATACGAAAAGTAAGTAAGTTTCTAAAGTAATATCGTTTCTTGATACATGTGCATTATTCTGTTATTTTTCCTTGAGTTGTATGATTATTCACGTCTCAAAGCGTTGCGCTAATCTTTTGTGTTCAAATCTTATTTAGAAAATATGAATTATTATTCGGACCAAGTCGTCATTTTGAGAACCCTGTAAAAATTTGTCGTAACAGTCCGACAAATTTTTACAGAAGAGGTGGAGAATATATGAAGTGACTATTTGTTAACATGTACAGCATCTAATTATGGGCTAACTGAAGAAATTACAGTCATCGCATATCAGTTGGCAAAAAATATAATAAAATAATTCCAGAGACAGAGGAGCGAAATGAAAAAGCAGAAGAATTATTTTGAGACCTCAACGAAATAAGGGGATCAATATTCTTATATAGGCTAGTATGTGAGTCAGGGCTATGCCCTGACTGTATGGTATGTGAGATCGAGACCAAGAATATTATACGAGGACAATTTAATGTCTAGTAACTACTTTCAGACATGGTAGGGTGATTCCATGTTATATGCCAGATATCGATGAGATATCACATGTAAGAATAGGAAGATCCCAGGCATGATGTGTTTCATCTTCTTGAGTACAAAATGTTCTCAAACGTGCACAATTTGATCCTTAATATTTCCCTACTCGTACCCACTTTGTCCTTGAGACATTTGCAGGACATCATGGGAAAGTCCTAAGAAGCCAGAAAATGGTAACATTTCTGTTGCCCAGTGGGAAGTTTGATACACCCAGCGACATCCTACGAACAAGAGGAGACCTGTCGAGGAGAGAACTGCTTCAACAAAGCAGGAATCGGCTCAAAACAATTAGAGAGTACACCAGAACAAAAAAAATGATGTAGAACGGATACGCAGACAATACAATAAAGAGACAGAAACAGCTTATCATATTTCATGAGAATATGAGCCACTGGATCATAGGAGGAAAGATAGACAACCTACATAATGTCCAAGAGAATATGACAGACATCCAACAAATAATCTGTACAAAATAGTACAGAAAACCAGATTGTTGCAATGGATATCATGAAACATCAGATGAGGGGAAAAAATTATTAACACATGGGGCGTGTTTACCGGAGAGTTGGATTAAATGAATAAATCAGATGGCTCCCAAGAACAGCAAAACAGAGGGGGGGGCGGCAAATACAGCTTGATATTTTATGTGAATGCCTAGGATCATAGGAGGCAATCAATCTATGGACAACCATCATCATGTGAAAAACATGCGACAAGAACTTCACAGACTGGAACAGGGAACAAGATTGTTGAAATGGGCTTCATCGAAGAGGAGATAAAATGCAATGAGCACATGAGGCTGCAGTTTTTTCTGGTGACTTGAAAGAAATCAATAAGTCCGATGACTCCCAAAAACAATAAAAATATAAGAATGTAAACATTAGCGAACATAGTGACTATATAGGTACCTTATATCAGCAAGGTCAACCTTATTTACAACTTGCCACCACTTTCCTCCTGTCTTTAGAGTTTCTGTATTCTATTTTGCAATTCCCTCTCCTATATTAAAAACCCTGAACTTGCATATGCTATCTTTTTTTCAGGAAATATTGGGTGTTTCATGATAGTAGAAAAAACTGTGTGAAACTCATTTCCCGGGTTTTTTTTCCGTGATCTGCAGGTTTTTATGCCTGACGTTTCGTCTACTAATGAGATACATATTATCAAAGGCGATAATGATTCGGTTACAGTGCCCGAGTTGGCGCTTGAGTTTTTGTTTCCGTTGTTCCCAACGTAGTAACTACGATGCTGGGTATTTGACTCCGGTTTTATATTATTATCATTAAGCGTGGTTTGGTTTCATTCAATTGGATTACCTGTCCTTGTTTGTGTACCTTCAAGGACAGTTAGCCAGATTTAATTGCCCCTTCTTTTGTATTGGAATTATCCCTGTGTTTTTGAATTTCTACTGCTTCTCTATATACTCTTGAATAGTAATTTTGAGTTTCATCAAGAGAGGCAATAGGAGTTTAGAAACACAGGGATAATTTCAATAGAATAGAAGAGGCAATGAACGGTACACAAACAAGATCGGGTAATCCAATTAAGAGAAACCTAGGCACGCCCACAAATAATAATTTAAAACCAGAGTCAAATACTAGCATCGTAGTTACTGCGTTCGGAACAACGGGAGCAACAACTCGGGCACTGCAACCGTTACTACATCGCCTTTGATAATGTATACCGCATTAGTAGACGAAACGTCAGGCATAACACCTGCAGACCACGGCCAAAAATATCTTTCACACAGTTATCTTCGGCTATGAAAGTTTATATACATTCTTTGGTCAGTAGAAGAAACTATAAATAATATCTAACTAACATACATTATAGGTTCAATATATCCGTTGATTATAAAAGATCGGAGTCTCATTACTTCCATCGTGAACTGACTATAATAATTATGGCCTCGGACAGAGTGTGATGGTGAGAGTTTCTCCCGGTGAGAGTTTCTCTCAGTGAGTGACAGTCAGGTTTCAGAGAGTTAAGGATGAGACAGGTGAAAAATAAATGTTTCAATGTTTGGGGTAATGTTAGGTTACAAAACATACAAAGTTCATTCAAATCAACATGATAGTGAATATTTTTATGCGTTATTCTCAGTTCTCTTTCGACTAAGAGAGTCGTAGTTATGTAATAGTTCTAATTGTATGTATGGAACAATTGAAGGACAAAATTTCTATTTAATTGCCATTTAGGAGAAAAAGATAATTATAGACTTTCTTGAATCCACTTTTTGAAAACCGCATTATTTTGGGTTTGTTGGTATTGACAGATAGCGCATTTAGGTCAGAATATTCTTCAATATTTTTAGTTTCCTAGAGAAATCAATCGGTGAGTCGCCTAGTATAATTAGATCGTCAGCGTACAGTAAGATAACTATGTCAGTCTGACTGTCTACATGTATTCCTCATGCGCCACGATCGCGGAAAAAAATCCATAAACTGGGGCTGAGTGAATCCCCTTGTAGAATCCATAAAGAAACATAGAATTCCTTAGTCAGCTGTTGGTTGGCTTTGATTATGAACGTAGCAATGTTATAAAAGTTTCTCAGTTTGTAGGAAAACCTGATCCATTTTGAATCAGGATCTGAGTGGCATCATACTGGTGATAATTTTCGGACGACCATCAGAACATTTCTGGTGACTTTTTGGACGTATCCTTAATGTGGCACGAAAAATATTTTCCTTCTGGCAACCCTGACGTGATACTTAACCTCAATACGTGTTAATAACCTCAAAAAGTGAAAAACAGAAAATAGGATTTTTGTGTAAACCTGTTGCTATGGCCATGAAAACATCAGTTACGAACATAAACGTCCTCGACATATTCCAAGATAAACAACTCGTGAAAGTTTGTGCCCCTATGGTTAGATATAGTAAACTCCAATTCAGAAACTTGGTGAAACGTTATGACTGTGACCTAATGTTCACCCCAATGATTTTAGCAGATTCATTTTGCCACAGTGAAAAAGCTAGACAGAACGAATTCACAACTAATGCATTAGATTCGCCAGTAATTATTCAATTTGCAGCTAATACTGCTCATGATTTTGTTGGAGCGGCATATTTGGCATCGCCATACTGTAATGGTGTCGATCTAAACTGTGGGTGTCCCCAGAGTTGGGCAAAGGAACAAGAGTTGGGTTGTGCAATGTTGAAAAAACCAGAGCTTATATATGATCTTGTTAGGCAGTGTAGAAACCGAATACCAGCACCATTTTCAGTAAGCGTCAAAATAAGACTTTTGAGTGATATAACTGAGACAGTTGAAATATGCAGGCAATTGGAAAAGTGTCATATAAGTTTTTTAAATGTACATGCTCGTACAACAAATCAGCTTACTGGTCAAATTGACAAATCAGGTCTGAAGTTAATAAAAGATTCTTGCAAAATTCCTTTAGTAGCTAATGGTGGTGTAACATCTCTAGAAAATTGTTTTGAGTTACAAGACTACACCGGCTGTGATGGAATAATGGTAGCCAATGGAATCCTATCCAATCCTACTTTATTCAGCGGTACTTGCTATACAACTAAAAATTGCATTCAAGACTGGTTGAACATATGTTACAACAGCACATTGACGATGCAGAGCTATCAAGAAGAATTAGCCAAACCTAAACTGACTATCTCTGAAAAACCTAACAATCTGACGTTTCAGTGTTTTCATCATCATTTAGTTTTTATGTTGGAGAAAGTTTTGCCCAAACGGCAGAGACACTTTTTTAATAGTTTGAAAACATTCAGTAGTGTTTTGCAGTTTATAGAAGAATATTTTGGATTGAAACCAATGTTGTTTGAGCCTGAAATGTTTGTAAAAACTGTTTCTCAGAATATGGATTATACAGATAGAGATTTTATGTATAAGGAATTGAAACCAACTGAAGCTGAAGAACAAGAATATATTGGCAACAGTTACAATTCCGATGGTCAATATTTCAGCAGTAAAATTTCTTCAGAAGACTGTGATTTGACAGAAATATTTCTGGAAAATGGATAAAGTCTGACAAATTCTACATGTCTTACATTAATTAATGAAAGGCTATTCCAGTCTTAGAAAAACTAAGAGTGCTGAAAGAAATAGAAAGACTATTTTGCAGAAAAAAATTATTTTACTAGTATTTATATTTTAATAACTATATCCATAATTTATTAATTTCCAGAGATTTTACTGCAATAATTTATTTTCTTTTTCCACTTAAGTATGTCCTAAATTTGTTGTTCGCAATTGAAAATAAAGTTTAGTAAAACTAGATATTTGTTTTACCTTATGATATGCTAGGCTCTGCTAGAGAATTGACTGATACCTACTTGATGAAAATCAATTATAACATACCTGAATATGTTATAACTCCCATCTGTTCTGTTCTCAAAAATATCAAGATCCCTTTTTTTAGAAAAAAAACAGTTGAACACAATCACTGGGGATTTTATGGGATGTGTATCTAGCAGCACAGATATATCGATAAGCCAAAAAAAAAAGAAATAAACAAAAATGCCAAGAGAATTATATGTATCTCCATCTGATCATACTTTACCTCTTCATGAAAAGTTTTCCATATCTGTATGTTTCAATGAACAGAAAATTTGTGTTTTATTGATTTTAGCTAAAAAAATTATGTGTGAATTAAAACCTATAATGAAACTATTGGTTACCAAATTCAATCAATCATAAACTAATATGAATTTTGCTCAATGGTGAAATACTTTTGTTTTTGACAACGTAGAAAACCATTACTGTAATTATTGAACATTTGAAAATAGTCGGTGAAACATGAATAATTGATTTCAAGAGATAAATGTCTACTGAAATGAACCAAATTTAAATTAATTAATACCGTAGAAAAATTGGGTGTAAAATAACTAATCCTGATTTTTACTGTAAATTAATGCATTGCATATATGAAGGTTATTTCCAAATTAGCATAAAAAACTTTCCCAAAATAAAGAATAGAAAAATTTGACTCATGATTCCCTTACTGAGACAACAATATATGGAAATTTACTAAAGTTATTCAACAGCTCTAGCAAATCTGATTTGAATATTGGTATGCTATCAATTTGTTTCTGAAGATTAGATACCCTCTTACACGATATCCATGGACCAATTAATGAAAATATCAATAATTGCTGCTAGAGAGGACTACTGATAAAATTACATCTGGATAAATATTTTACTACATCACTAGACCTTCAATATGTTTTGAAGAACAACTCTTGAAAAATCGGATGAGGGATTTTTTGATTTGATTTCAAATTTCCAAAAAAAAATTTCAATATCGTTGAAACTATCAACAGGGCAATTGAATACCGAATTTTCGAACGTTGACATCTGACATATAGTAAATCAGGTACAAATCTTTCAGAATTTTAAAATACTCTCTCTTAGTTCGAGTTAGAGAGTTGAGTTAGGTATAAAAAAATAGTCTTGAAACTGTGGACACTATTATTACTGGGCAACTCATTTCATACATCAGTAAGAATAACACACATGTAATTCTTTACAATTATCTTCTACAATTATCTTCTATTCACTTTTTTCGGCCTCCTCTTTCCTTAACTTGAAGTTGAATCGTTGCACCCTGTGTAACATTATAGTATGCCAAAGTATTAGAATCCTTGAAAAACATTCCCTGAAAAAAAAGTTTGAATTTAAATAACTAACTGCAAAGATTTCTTGCTAGGATAATGTCTGATTATATCTGAATTATCATTATTATTATTGATTTTATTTGAAAACTTTCCTACTTACATCGAAAAACAACTTCTGCTTAGCTGGTGGCATATTTGTTTCTTCCTGCACCTTTGCCTTCAAATTAGCCACACTTTCTCCCAAGGGTAATGTGAGGCTCATCACCTGTCCGGTTAATTTCCATTCAGACTTCTCAGGCAAAAGTGGTATTGTTACCTTGATAGACACTGGACCCTATAAAAAACAATTTTAACTGAAACTCACAATACAACTACACAAAATCTTACTGGATTTCTTGTCATGAATACTTCTTCGGGTACAAGAGAATCTTCATTCCTCAACTTCTTATTACTTGGTTCATCATCTAACATACCATCGTTTGGATGTTTCATTGGCATTCCCATTGGCTGTCCCATAGGAGGAGGCATTGGAGTAACAAAGCTGGCCATAGGAGGTGGTGCTGCCACTATAAAATAAGTTATTTGTTTGAATAAAGTTGTCCATTTTTCAGTGCAGCCAGTGGTTTTCAATATAAAAACATTGTGAGTTAGAGCATGTTTTTTTAAGAATGCCTATAACTTCTACAATTTCTTTTTCATTAATAGGAAGTAAAAGCAGTTTTTTTTAATGAGCACTGATAAAACAGGTCATTCGTATTCACAATCGCCAGAAAAAATAGAAAATCTCCAGTTCAATGTAAATAGCATATCTTAAAAAATTGATGATAGTAGTGTTGAGTTTTTAGGTATTTATCTGGATGAATTCCTGAATTGGAATAGTCATTGCCAACATCTGATATCTAAACTCAATCCTCTGAACTTTTTTTTTATTAATTTAAGATCAGTATTGACTAGAGCTCAGTTTACTATGCTCATGTAGACTCTAGAATTAGGTACAGTGTTTGTTTCTGGGGAGAGTCAACTTCAGCACAAAATGTATTCGTAGAACCAAAGCACATTGTACGATGACAAATATTTCTCAGAGATTCTTGTAGGCTGTATTTCAAAAAAAATAATATTTTAACTCTTGCATCAGTTTATATATTTGAAATGTGTGTAATGTGTTTGGAAATGAGTCAAATTTAACATTAAATAAGAGTATTCACCAGCACGATATGAGAATCAAAAACCAGTTCCATGTGCCAATTGCAAAATTAAAAGTTACTTATTCTGGGCCATAGTACATTGGTCCAAAAAGTCACAATAATCTCTCTGAATATGTGAAGGCTTCAAAGCAGCTGTATAATTTTAAACAAAACTGATAGCATATCTGTTAGAAAATTGTATTTTACACAAGCCGAATTTTGTAATAATTACTAGGTCTCTTCTTCTTTTACTGTCGCCTCATTCAATTTTTATAACTGAATTTAGTATAATTATTTTATTGTGTTGTCAGTTTCCTATACAACTTTATATTGTCTAAATGGAAATAAGGTATAATTATTATTATTAACTTGGTACATTATCATAATACTTTCAGTAAATAGGAGCTATCCGACTTGTTCATTTTTCCCAAATCTCCAAAAAACACTACAGCCTCATGGGCTTATCACTTTTTTTTTTCATCTTTTCCAACTACTTTGTTCCCTGTACTGATTTGTACAAGTCTCTAGCTGGATGTCATATTCTTCTGAACATAATTTTGGTAACTCATAATAAAGATTGGATTATTATTATTATGACAAATTTCTTTGGAAATACGGAATATATTGTTTTTTTTTGTTGATTTTGAAGATATTTTCATCTTTCACTGCAAATGTAGAAAGGGCAAATTATTGAATCTGAAAGTTGAAGTTGGCTGAAATTTGCTGGGGAAATAAAAACAAGTTTGTTTCCGGAGAAACATACACCAATTATTATGGACAATCCAAATTATGATCAGAAAAATAAGAGCATCCAGCAAGGGACCTGTACAAACTTGTACAGAGAATATGATTGTTGGAATGAGTGTCATTAAAAACATGAGAAAAAACGCAATAAGCCCATGAGGCTGGGAGAATTGGACAAGCCAGACGAGACCCCAAGTAGAAGAAGAAAAATCCTTGTATAAAATTCAACTGGATGCAAAAGGGAATATTTTCAGATCATTTTTTTGGAAAAAAAGATTTTTGGCTTTCTACTTTTCCATCATCAAACAATAAATGTGAAAAGCTTCCAAAGAGAGGAAGAAAATTACTGCAATGAAAACTTAATAAAAATGTATGTACAGCACACACAAAAATTTCCTTCTAACACGACCTAGAAGATAAAACCCTTTCGAAACAACTACTTTCAAATAAACAATGACTTACATGAAAATCACATTTTCCCATTGGGTTTTTATAGTAGCTTTTATTAAGCACTTCTATCTTTGAATTTGAATAAAAGTATGTGTGTGTGACAAATGTTGTACAAAGGAATTAGAGAAAGGTATTTTCGTGTAATTCAGTATTCAGTAATTCATAAATTCAAAGATAGAAGTGCTTAATGAAAGTTACCATCCAAACGCAATGGGAAAATGTGATTTTCTTGTAAGTCATTATTCATTTGAAAATAGTTGTTATGCTTTTAATAAAAAAAGTGATCTCTCCTAAATTCTCTCCTATTTCAAACAATATTTTTAGTTGATGTGTTGCCTTCAACATTCTACAAGATCAATGTTGAACACAAACAAATTGCTTGCTTCTCAAGACATAAAATTCTTTTTATTAAATGCAGAGACTTACTCATTATAGGAGGAGGTCTCATTGGAGGCATAGGAGGAGCAGTCATCATCATTATTGGTGGTTGCGTAGCCATCATAGTAGGTTGGGGGGGTACAGGTATAGCCATTGGAGGAGCCGGTTGCGTCTGAATGAGAGAAACCTGAGGCTTAGGTGGCTGAAATTATTTATACAAAATCATGAAATAAAAATAAAGAAAATGCATTCATCTAAGCATACCGGTGGTTGATTTGGTGGTTTTGTAGTTATTACACTCTGAATGTTGATCTTGCCAGATTTTGACCCTATATTTTTGGGGCCAATTTTTTCTTTTTCTTCATCAGGGAGTAATCCTTTTACCTAAAAAAATACATTATTATTTTTAAAACACCTTCTCGAATAATAAAGATGCTGACCTTATGGATTTGGTGTATCTGTTCTTCCAGTGTTATGTTAGCTCTAGCAGCTCTAGTAGCAGTTTCCACACTACTCGTGTGTCCATCCCAAATTACTTTCTCGTCCTTCCTAACATCTTCTTCTCCTATTTTCTTACCAATTGCAGTTTCCTCATCACCAACACCAAAAATATCTGTACGTCTTTCTGCCAGAAGTTTCAATGAAGCATCGATTGCTGAACCAGCTGCGTAAACTGTTTCTTGATTCATTTTATCCATAACTTGCTTATCACGTTGTTCAACCCACCTAGGGTCAAGGAGACCTATACGCATATGCTCCTGGACTTTGCTGGCTGGAATCTTCTCACCAGTTATTGGCGATACCAAGTAGTCATCGCCTACAGTTGGTCTGGTTACCTTAACAGCTGAAATAAAGAAGGTTTATCATAAAGACAACTTAGTAACCTTTATGTAATCATTTGTCAGATCAATAACAATTTTTTTATAATCAATCACTTCGTAAAAGCAAACATTCTAAAGGTTATTAAAAAAAATCACATTCACACTAAGAATTAGATTGTCTGATCTGAGCTTTATAAAGCATCATAAGTTGCTGAGGTGTGTATAGTTTTTCAGTTCGGAACAGTGTTCCAAGCTTTTGAGAAGCAGGCTTTGCAATTCCAGCGACATGATTGTGCCAAGACATATTGGTGTCCATTTTAAACCCCAAATGACCTGACATTATTATATTCGGCATCGGAAACCCGATGCCTGGGTATTTGTAGCATTGAATTGAATCCGATTATTTTCACCCCAATTCGAAATTACTTCAAGATCTTCATTAAGATATGCAACCTCCTGCTGCCAGTGAAGATGTGCATCCGCTACCGATGTCCCGGTATCCAAATGGAATGACGAAACAAGTGTGCTGTCACAGCCAATTCCTCCACCTATTTTAGATCATTAAAATTCACATGGTGTTCATTTTGAAATGGACCCTTTTCTGATTTTGATTCTTTAAGTTATTTCATTTTTTTGGGTATTGCTTTATCGCAGCACCATTCAAAATGTGAGAAAACGTTACTGAACATGACATCAACACTTTCTTCTAGGTCTTCTGAAATCATCAGTGATCTGCATTCTGATATTGAAAATTATTTTATTCTCGATGTGAAAATATACTTTGTATTTTCCATTTTATTTATTATATTCCAGATCAGTCTTTGTGCAAAGTGATCCAATACTCCCATATCATTGTTAGTAATTTTATAATCCAGACCCTAGATATTTTTTTTATTTGCCACAAGTATTGGTTCATCATATGGCAATGTAAGATGATACATTTCAAAAAGTCTAACAGTTGTTTTTTAGAATGGCTTTCTCCTGTGAAGTCTATGTTGAAATCTGTGCATATAATCACACCTCGCATATAACATTTCATATCTCTACCTCTTTATAACGTTAAGCGGTGATGTAATGGCGCTCTGCTGTTTGCTTTGAATTTACCTACTTATGAAATCATGTTTTTCCCAGGGATCACTTCTTCAAAACTGGTTTCAACTTTGCGATAAAATTCCTAAATTGATAATATAATAAAAATTAACAATATCTTTTAGAAAAATAGACAACACACTAATCTTACAGGAAACAGCTCCTAGTTAAATTTGGTGAAAATCTGCAAAAATGATCTTCAATAAATTCCGAACAGAACTATTCAATTAATGACTAAATAAAAAAAGTTATTAAGAGTAATCAGAATATCAATTCCTATTAATCAAACTTACTGAACAAATGTATATTAAATTTTTTTGGGCATGTGTAAAGCTTGGCCATAAGAACTTTGGATCCCCATGATCTGTAAAACATTTCTGCAGTTTTAGTCAAATTTCAACATGAACAAATTAGAGAATAGTTCCTTCAAATATAAATCCAAACTAGGTGCTGTCTTCAAAACATTTTGAAGTGGATTGCTGAATATTTGATTGAAAGGATATTAAAAAGTATTTTTTGATTAGAATGTAGCAAGCTGTAGAAAAGCCTATAAATCATCTCACCTTGTTTAGGATCATACTTCTTAACTAAAACCTTATCAGGTGCAGGTGGCAGAGGGGGTTGAATAGAAGGAGGTGGGGGTGGTTTAAGTGAGGATTCATCTTCTTCTTCAGAACTTTCCTCCTCCATATCCTGAATACGATTATCATCACGTCCTTTACGACTATGTGTTTTGTCTTGCATTGTACTTAGTCCTTCGTCCTGAAACAGCACAAATTTCCATAAAAATATTTGTGAAATGAAAAAGAACTTTTAAATTTTTGGGAAAGAAAGTTTTTGGCTTTCTACTGCTCCATCTGATACAAAAAAAGGGATGAGAGAATCTTCCTTTCTTTGGAAGATTCTCTCAAAAAAACGGGATGAGAGAATCTTCCTTTCTTTGGAAGATTCTCTCATCCCTTTTTTTGTATCAGATGGAGTAGTAGAAAGCCAAAAACTTTCTTTCCCAAAAATTAATCACTCCTAAAAATATTTCAATTCAACTTTTAAATATTTTTAAACCGAAAAATGTTTGAATTTCATTCTCACTCCTAGTGAGTATTAGATTCATAATAAGCAAATAACCTGGATTTCTATAAAAAAAAATTGAAGAACATCTGATAAACAACAGAGTATAATTTCAACCTACCGCTGGTGGTGGTTCTTCCTCATCACTTTCAAGCTGCATTTCGATGTCTTCACCATCTTCAATCCTTTCTTGGATGAGAATCCGTGCTCCTACTTCTTCTGGTGTAGTGGGAGGAGGAAAATTACCTATTTCGAATGGTTGGTAATCAACTGTTTCTACCACAACAAAGTCATGCCAGTCAATTTGTGCGTAAGCAACTGCAACAGATAAAAGGAAGTAATTAAAAATTTCTAGTAATTGTCACTAAATATCACCTCTTTCTCTTTCCAAGATTTCCTCCTCCTTTGCCTTTTGTGCTTCTTGATATTTTAACCATTCTGCACGATATTTTACTTGTTCTAGAACTGATTTGGCACTTTTAGCTTCATCACGGAGACGTTGCTGCATACTTTTTGGAGGGATGAGTACCTATGAAAATGCATATCTTCTAAATTTTTCATCAGAAAATTTAAAAATGTTTTACCTTGGTATATTGTTCCAAAAGTTTCGTGAAATACTGAAATAAGGAATGTTGTGGCCTTAGAAAATCAAACTGGAAGTTTCGTTGTTCTCTATTCATCAACTGTGTGAGAAATGCTCTTCCGTTTCTTGCTACGAATTGTGCAGTGAGTTTCACAATGTCACTAAAAGATAAACCATTACACATTTTTTTTGTATTCACTCATTAAAGAAAATTTAAAAATTTAACTCACAGATCAAGAGCAGATATGGATGGTGGATCAGCAATGAATTCAAATTCAGGTGGAGGATCCTTTGGTACAAAAGGCTGCTCGACTTGCTTCAAAATTTCTTGTTGTTTTTGTTGAGCTGCTGAAGTTACAGATAGCTTCAAAATAGCCTGATTCAGTCCAGCAGCAGGCTCTTGTCCTTAAATCAAAAATACAACTTTTTGAATTATATAATGAAATAGGTTATATCAAACTCCAAAGGACATTTAATCAGGTATGAAATTCGCTCTCGTAGACTATTTTATCAAGATACTCAAGGCCTTGGAGCCGAATATTCAGATTTGGCTAAATATCATCATGAGTGTAGTATTGTATCAAGTAGGTTTTATAGTGGAAAAAATGTGTTCAATTTTAAATATTCATATGATCCGATTTTTTTTAAGATTAAAATTTTGGAAACAGTTCCTATTAAGGTCATTGTAGATATTTTTCACCAATAACTCCTTATTTTGATGAAAAATTACTATAAGGAATAAACACATTAAATCTGGTTCTTCAGCTCTCCCAAATAATGTTTTTACAGGTAGCCATACATACTTTTGTCATTCCCATTCCATATTGACTCCAACCCTATTTCTATGATGCATCAATGATCTATTTGAAAACATCAGAATGTTTTCAATCAACGTAATGTCTTTGAAAAGCATAATCATACAAGTGTGTCAATTCGTCTTTTGTTGGTATTTTTATTACATGCCTGATGGTCAGTATGTTTGTATTTATTGATCAGTTTTATATATTCAAATACATAGTTTTCATGTAATCATCCAACCTAGTCTACCAAGTGATTAATGAAGAATAATAATAATTATTATTATTATCTGCTGCCAATGCTCATTTTTGTTGATAACACGAGGTTTTACCAGAGGAAGATTTGATGAAAACAAAGACCATGTATTAAATGCTTAACTTAAAAATTCTGACCAGTTCTCAAAATTGATTTCTAGAAAGCAATCTACTAGTAAATGGTGAAATGACACACTCATTGTGTACCTAACTCTCAATGAAGGTGAAAGTGGATTGATTCTGCTAAGTTAGGTGACTGGCAGACCAGCTAACTGCAGCGATGCTATTTATTAACATAGCCTAACCCAAAACATCAGATTACCCAACACAGTAGTTGATGTTACGCGTTATCAAAAGAAAAAAAATCTACCTGTAGACCTCACTGGTTTCAAAACTAATTCATTTACCAGCAACTGAATTTACTAAAGGTAAACAATTATTTTATAATTGAAGATATTTTTCTTTTATATCTCCTAACATCTACAAAAAGTTTTGTGTTCTTTATTGAATCCAAGTTTTTTAATTGAACAACAAAAAGACTTAATATACTGTCGTTCTTAATAGGAAAGTAGACTGGCTTCATCTTACAGACTAAATAAGCGAGTTACTTGCTGAAGCTATAAATTTTAAATGTTTTACAATTCACGTACCTTTTCCCTCTCGAAAGTCCTTAACTTTATGTTGATAGTAAGCATGGTAAGGGTCTCCAGTGTTCAAGAAATTGAATTTGGGATTTCCAAGTTCGTTCTGTCGAATACGTGCCTCAAATTCTGGTCCATTTCTTGCCACAAAACTTGCAGTTTTGTCAACAATATCTTAGCATTTTTGTCAGGAAAATACACTTTTTCTTGTAGTTCAATACACTTACTTGGAATAAACATATGAGCTGTAAAGAATTCTAAAAATATAGGATATGAGTTGCATTAAGAAAAGGATACTTCTCACTTCTGGTGGTGGATAAATTATACCCACTACAGGATTTATTGGGCCTGGTTCTTCATTATTACTATTTGGTGTCACCTCTAAGGGTGGCATTTTTTATAGAATTATTCAAAGTAGATTTCTTGATGATTCGATATTCAAGTAGAATCAAATTAGTCTCAGAACTTTCTGTCAGAAAAGCAGACACTATTAGTAGCAAACATAGCAAAAGTCACAAAGTTTTCTCTACGTTTGTTCTGGTTCTCAGTCAGTACTGTTTCTTCTTCTTCTTCTTCTTCTGCTTCTTAT